GAATCAATTCTTATGCCTCTCTCTCTTTCACACACACACACACACACAAATTTGGGTACACATGTGCACAACATACTCAACGACAACCTAGCTAAGTCTTTTGTGTAAAAGGTTTAGACCTTACTTTATAGTGACAGCGGGGTTTTATATGAGGAAGGGCATTAGTTAGGTTCGCCAAATGCTTGTGCATTTATTTGAAGATGTTTCAGATTTTGTAAATTTATGGTCTAAAGGTGTTCCTACAATTCTATAGGGCCATGAGGAACTTGATGCTGCCAGCTTGCGTGAACATGAAGAGTTTACAAAAGTGAAAAATATAGCAACCATAGAACTTGGAAGATATGAAATTGAGACATGGTACTTCTCCCCCTTTCCACCAGAATATAATGACTCTTTGAAGCTGTACTTTTGTGAGTTCTGCCTCAATTTCATGAAGCGCAAAGAACAGCTTCAAAGGCATATGGTGAGCTGTGCCTCAATTTTTTTCCCTTTCTAACTGTAGCTTTCTTGTGAATAGTTTATGCTGTAGTTGAACCTGGAATATCTTTCATTCATGATTAATTTACCGTAGTTGACTGTTTCTGTTATTAACATACTAACTTATATATTTTTCTGTTTGCATATGTAGAGGAAATGCGATCTCAAGCATCCCCCTGGTGATGAGATATACCGAAGTGGTACACTTTCTATGTTTGAGGTTAGTTGCATATTTTGTGCACAACATCTCCGTGATGGTTTCAAAAGAAAACCTTGTTAATTTTCTGAAGTTATGTCGTTTCAAAAGTTGCAATTTGAAGTTGACTCTGCTTTGAAAATAAAGAACTCTCTCATTGTATATTCTGCTTTTATGCATTTTTTTTTTCCTTCTGCAAGTCTTTAGATCTTTTTGTCGTGTTCAGTAGTGAGTTTGTGGCTGTTATGACTTTTTTTTTGCTTAAATGTATTGAATCAGGTTGATGGCAAAAAGAACAAGGTTTATGGGCAGAATCTTTGTTATTTGGCGAAATTGTTTCTTGATCACAAGACCCTGTATTATGATGTTGACCTCTTTCTGTTTTATATTTTATGTGAATGTGATGATCGTGGATGCCATATGGTTGGATATTTTTCCAAGGTAATATTTTTACTGTCCTTATCTTTTTACATTGAAGAAGCAAGAAAAAATTGTATTAGAATTCAATTCATGAAGTATCATCTTTCCGTGTGAACTTTTTTATTGAATGAGTAATGGATGTGTTTGTAGCCTGCTAGCTTCCCTTGTGCAACTTTGTTCTGATACTGTAACATCGTTTTTACGATTTCTTTCTGCATTACCTTGAAGTTTTATACCTTTTATTACCTTGAGTTATATATGGCCTTTCTAATGACTCAAAGAAACTTCTGAATATCTGTTATTGTGTGTATATATGACTTGGTTTATGCTGCTCATGGATTTAAAAGTGAAACCAGGTTTTATTTCATTTGTAATAAACTTTTGATTATGAGGGTGCTAAATTAGCATTTGGATACAAGTTCCAGTTGGTAAAAAATTAGGATTTGTCTGTTCTCCCATGTTGCAAAATTAGACATATGAAAGTGTTCTTATGGTTCTGAAGTGACTGAAGAATTTTCTGTATTTCCAGTTTTTTGTTAGATTATTTTGCCTTGGTTTATCTCTATGTTATCTTAAAACATCAATATATCTAATTTTGTGATTTATTGTGATGCAGGAAAAACATTCAGAGGAATCTTATAACTTGGCATGTATACTCACCCTTCCTCCATATCAAAGAAAAGGCTATGGAAAATTTTTGATTGCCTTTTGTAAGCTCTGCACTTACTTTCTTTATTTGTTTTGGCGTATTTCCTGTGTCTCTGTTCTGTCTAGACAATTTCTGACTTTACTATGATAGTCTTTGCAATATTTTTGAATTGTGTTGTACCATTGTAGACAGACATCTATTATAGGTATATGCCCCATTAAAGTTTTTAAAATATCCTTCTATAGTCCTGCAATGAGATGCAGTTGTAGATTGTGGAAGACTGTACTAGGCCAAAATTTCATTATATATACTGTATAGTACTCTATCTAAAGCTCTCTAACTACCCAATTGTTTTGGTAGTAAGAAATTGATCAAGTAGAAGAACTGCAAACCTCAAATTCCCTTCATATCTGTATATTTGCAGTTGCTTTTCCATATAAATCTTCTCTTGCAAAGAAATTAAAGGGCCTCTAATTGTATTCATGGATTCTATAACCTGGTATCCAACTGTTCTCTATACTGAATCTTCAAAGCCTTCATACAAATAACATGGAGCACTTTGGTCATTGCCTAGGGGATAAACCTGCTATCTAACTATTCCCACATCATGTGATCAGTTGTGTCACTTCGTGTCCCTAGGAACTTTTTAGTCTCATATAGAATTGAGCCAATAGGGGTACACATACTTATGCAGTAAGTGCACTGCTGTAAGCATAATGGGTTAATCTGATGAATAGACTGCTGCTGACTCTGGTGTATAATAGGCCTCATACGACAAGTCTTGCCTTCTGTCAATCATTGAGATCAATTTTTGGACTGATGTCAACTTTTATGATTTGGTTGTGTTATTTATCCTTATATGGATTATTTTTGCCAGTAACAGTTACTAATGTTATCAAACATGATGCAGCATATGAACTCTCAAAGAAAGAAGGTAAAGTTGGCACGCCTGAAAGACCCCTCTCTGACCTAGGATTGCTGAGTTATAGAGGGTACTGGACCCGGGTGCTTCTAGACATTTTGAAAAAGCACAAGGGAAATATTTCAATCAAGGTGAGCATCTCCAAGTCCTTAGTTAAACCAAAGATTGTCCACCCATCGTATAATTGCTGCTTAACTTTATATGCTGATAATGGTTGAAGTGTTTTGCGCTTTGCATGGAAGTTGTTACTAATGATTAGACCAACCAATTATCCACAACCTCTGAATGGGATTTTGCACAGTATGAAGTAAACCCAAATACTTAGAGTTTGCATACTGGATTTATCTTCGGACAATTTAAGCACCCTTTAGTGTGGTTTTGTATTTCAACTAGTAGAGATACCTAATAGTGTGCATTGACGCTTGGAGATTATTGTTCAGTTCCATTCCAGAAAAATATGTATGACAATCACGGTGGAAAGTAAAAAAGGGAAAAGGTTTATCATATCACTATCTGATGCCATATGGTTTTGCTGAGTTTTTTTTGAAACATATCGTATGTTTTGTGCCATGCAGGAGCTTAGTGACATGACAGCCATCAAGGCAGAGGATATATTGAACACCCTTCAGAGTCTTGAATTGATACAGTACAGGAAGGGGCAGCATGTCATCTGTGCAGACCCAAAGGTCCTGGATCGGCATCTAAAAGCAGCCGGTCGTGGGGGCCTAGAAGTTGATGTTAGCAAACTGATCTGGACGCCGTATAAAGAACAAGGGTGATCTTACGTAGTCCGTGTCAATCAAAACCTGCAAACTTGCTCCTGCTTGTATAAATATAGATTTAGGCATCAAAACAGGATTTGAACTTGAATGGCTTGTGTTGTTGACATGAATAACTTGCTTAGGGCAATATTGTCGCTTGTAACAATGTGTATCGACAACATTCACTGGTATGGACCTGGTAATGGATGCATTAATCTGCTGATTGTTTCTCTCTTTTTTTTTTTTCTTTTTGGGTTTACTTTGCTGCACATGCAAAGGTAAGGGCAATTATAATTTTTTATTTTTGTCGGTGGGTTGCCAACCAACCATGTACTTGTGACTCAAAGTTTGATAATTAGCTCTGTTTTTGGATTATGTAACGAGTTAACTGTTACGATAGCGTTCTCTGTCAATAAAATAATGTGTATATTTTTCAACCTATAAGATTGGAACGTTATGTGCGATGAACTCGTTCTATATAAGTTGCTTTCATATTTATGTTGAGCCATACCATAGGATTCTGTAAAAAATCTTAAATGCAAATTGATTGTTGTTTTAATCTCAACTCATCATTCAAGAAAACAGATAATATTTTTGTGTTATGTTAGAAGTACTTGTAAAATGTCCAAGTGGTTTTTTGAATTTATGTTTTTATGTCAAACGTAGTCAGAAGTGTCTCTATACATTTTACCGAATTCTGTGAGAAGTGCTTTTGAATTTCTAGGGCATTCCGGATTCAAAACGTGTCCTAGACCGAGTAATCGTTCGTTGATCATAGAGTGAGATTGTGTTGACTCGCTCCTATAACATGACGAGTGTTCTTTTTGGGAAAGGATTTGATTGGGGTGAGGATATAAATACTATGCCTTGTTGTTGCACATGAAAACTGTGCATGTGGAGCGCCCTTTATACAACGGCACTGCCATGTCCCCACCATGACTTCGGGGCACCGCCAACCCCCTGTCAACGTGACAGCATCCCAACACGGAAGATGGAGCTGCCACCACAATTCGTAGTAGAATTATTTCTCCTCTTATTTTTCTTTCATTTCCTTCCTATTTCTCACACTTCTCATTTTATCTCTTTATAAATAAAATTAATATAAGATATTAACGTAGTTTAATCGTAACTATTTAAATAAAAAAAAAAAAATGAAGGGAAAAAAAAATAGAGGAGAAAATCCTACTTCCACAATCCTAGTCTTTTCTGTAAAAGTAAATAGTAAATTTCACCGTCCAAATCTTCGAGACAACACACTTACGAGGAACAGTAACTTCACTTTCTGTAAACAAACATCGTTCGACTTGTGTGGATTTGGCTCTTCTCTTCAACTTGTGTGGATCTGGCTTTTTACCTCGGCGATTCGGAGTAATTTTTGTAGTGACAACGTAACACGATTATGCGACTTAGTAATTTATTTTCTTCGTGCTTTAATATGAAAAAAAAGGAGAAAACAAAAGAAAGGTGAGAGACCTTCCTAATTAAGAATATCAGATGTTGGGGTTTGTCACTAATTCAAATAAATAAAGCATTAGATCAATTAACACGAATAACTAAACAATATCAGCTCGACAATTAGTCTTAATAATATGTCATTACTCGTTGGAACAGTGAATAACCAATCAAACAATATATCCAAAATTGGGATCCAAAACAAAAACATGTACAGCAAATTTTTTCACTCCCCTTTTGGATTTTTTTTTTAAATTTTTACCCAAGAAATTAAACAGTAATGGGTTGATTTAGATGCCTAGGATGGTGAATCTGTTTAAGCTGCAAACCTTTCAATTCAACCCCACCAGATCTCCTCTTCCAAAGACTGTTCACCTCTTGTTCTTGTTCTTCAGCAGGCTTCTTGTGCACCCTCTTAATCACAGGCAGAGGAGGATCCAAATCCACTAGGTTAATATTCGCAACACAATCATGACCGTTACTAATCCGGGGCCCACTTCCACCATTGTTACTATTCACAATCACTTGCCTTCTACTACATCTTGTGGTGGTGTTTGTAGTGGCTGTTGTGGTGGTAGCAGCGGCGGCGGCATTAGGGTTGTTTAGGTTTTTGCCAGAGAAGAGTTTCTTGAGCTTGGAGTACTTGAGGTGGTTGTTGGGGCTGCTGATAATATTGTACTTGGAATTAGGGTTGGAGGAGAAGGTGAGTAGTCTGTGAGTGGTGAGAGGGGTTGGAAAGCCATTGACTTTGTTGCTTCTTTTCACTTGGCCCGTGCAACTGATTCTTGGGGACAAAGGATCATCTTTTACGGATGCAGACTTTGGAAGGCTCACATCTTTGATGGATGGTCTCGAACATAACATGGGCAAGAATGTGCTTGTCTGATGATTATGCATATGCAGATTCTGATGGTGGTTGTGGTGGTGGCGGTGGCGGTGGCGGTGGCGGTGATGGAAGCGGTTGTATTCACTTGTCATTGGAGCCCACTGTTTAGCTTCTGAACGAAACTGAAACTGAACTGAAACTTGAGAGAGAGAGAGAGAGAGAGAGAGAGAGGATAATGAATAAGAAGAGGCAGAGAGAGGAAGGCAGTGTTATATATTATTCCTATTGGTTACACATAATTTAATTTGTAAATTTAGTCTTCCTAATGTATTTTTATAAAATTTAAGAGGTCTTTATGGTATTTCAAAATTTCCGAGTCCGGTGAGAAAAGGGCATGATATTGTCAAATATTAGCATATGGACATACAAAGTGTGCGAGGAAATTTTTTATTTTTGTTTTTGAAATAGAATGAGAGAGGAAGAGAGTGATAGAGAATTTGAGAGTGCGAAGGTTTTTTTTTTTTTTTTTTAATTAGAGATATGTTAGGATTACAGGTAGATGAGGGTTTGAAAAAAAAACAAAATTTGATTGTGTGAAATTACATTTCTGTCCCATATTTCTTATTCATATTCTATTTTAATTAGAGAGTTAAACTGGTAATTTCATAAAATTTTAATTAACAATGAATGTTTTATTAATTAGTAGAGATAAACAAAACTGTGTGTATTTTTGAAAAACAAGACTAATCCTTTTATTTTATTTATTTTACTTTTTTTTAAAAAAAAAAAGTTTTATGTTGACTCATTCCAATTCCCATAAACAATGACTGGCAGAAAGGAGAGACCAAGGCCGAAGCATGCATGTCACGTCAGGACCAATCTTTAAAACTTGTGGCAGTAAAAAGAATAGAAGGAGAGTATGCGTGCTTAATTAAGTGATGAAATGAAGGTGTGAAAAGGAAACCTCTTTTTCGTCTTCTATCAATCCCTTCCCTTTCCCAACCAATTCATGATGCCAAGTCTACACGCTATGCTTCGTAAATCATAGGCTGACCTCCTCCTTGTCTCCTTTTGAATCTTGATCTGGATTTGGTGGTTAAAGTTTAAATCTTTGGGCAGCCTATAACATAAACAAATAAACACCAAAATAAGTTAACCAAATAACCTACTTATTTACTCAAAACTACTCAACACTCAAGAGTATTTTACTCTTTGGTTTTTTTTTTTATTGCCAAAAGCCCTAGTTTTGTTCCCACTTCTCACATCATTGTATATATGCATTCATCATGGTTTTTGTTCTTCTTGCAAAATTCTTTTCTACACGATGTTCGTCCTTTTTTAAAGATTGAATTAGTCCGACACTAAATACGTAAAATCTAAGATACACCCTAAAAATATCAATCATGTATGAATAAATGATATAAAAAACTGAAGAAAATATAAAAATTTTGTTTTGTAAGTAATAATCCTATGACCTATCCATAGAAAAATAACTGTAAACTGGTCGCCGCACAGATTTATTGCGTTTATCATTCTCTGTGACAAATTTGTATCGGCGACGTATGTAATTTCGTGCATATGGTAGCCGTATAGGAGTTTACAGTAGTTGTGTATTTGTGTGAATTTATTTCAAATCAATTTATTGATCACCAGAGCAATATACGTATCCAATTGGCACCTCTACGTTTGTTTTGGAAGATCAACAAAATACCACTCTATCAGTCTTGTAAAAGAAAACCTGTTTTCTGTGCTAAGACATAGAAACCTTTTGCTTAAGTTTTGGTGTATATATATTTTGATTGGGACTTATGCATACTTGAAGCAGTCAAAGGTCAAACTAATCGCACTTAAAAATGTCGAGCATATATTATTAGGTGGAACCACGTTTACCCCGAAGGCCATTAACCACTTAATCCGCGGTCTCTTCGGTTGTTATAAACTACAAAGCATGCATTTCATACTTTTGGCTGCAACAACTACCATAAATTACCAAAAAAAAAAAAGAAAAAAAAAAGAAAGAAGGAATTGATGTTAACACTTCAAAAATCTTATTTCGCACTCTAGACTTTTTATAATTAGAAAGAAAAATATAGAAGAATGTAGAATGTGATTTTTGGAGTGCTAATAATAGTTCCCAAAAAATATATGACTTTCACTTTACATAATCTTCTTCCAAGCTCCTACTAATTAAGCTAATTAATCCTATGTTTCTCTTTGTATGCATATTTCACCACATTTGCATTTGGAAGATCAAACTTTAATTATAGTTTAATACTTTTCAAGTTTTCTTCTTTTCATGTTGAAACGAGATTATTAAACTGTGATGTGCTGTTTACTTTGTAGCAAGCATTTTTCACCTTTTCAAATGATATATATATGTAGTTTTATTAGCGGGAGATGCCAAATGCTTTGGAATGAGTTTTTTTTTTTTTTTTTTGTTGGTTGCAAGGTTCTTTAACCGACGAGATGTAAAATGGTCATCTAGGCCGGATAATGTAAATAAAAATATAAATTTACATATTTAGAAGGTGGTCTTCGCTAGTTTAAGAGATAAAAGTAAATGGGGCACATCTCCCCTATTGAGGTAGAACTCATATTTTCATCTTCCGAAAATGTAAAATGAAATACAATTGTGACTTTTACGTCTCAAATTTGCACACTTTCATTGAAAATATCATCATACACTCGTTATGTTTAAATTTTAACTCAAAATGCAGCATATAAACTTTTTAAATTGCAAATAAACCTTGAGAAGCCAAAACTTTTTTTTCTTGTTTTATAAGTGCTGTTGTATAACTCAAGAAACCAATTTTAGCATCGATCAAGAAAGTACCAATAAAGAAAACAACGAAAATTTAAATTTGTAACTTTCTGCTTAAGCTGGCATGTCAGAACTCTAGCTGTGAGCAGAAGACAATTCCAAGCAATTGGGGCAAACCGTGCATGCTCAAAACAACAAGAATATATAATTAACACAAAATTAGTACGCTAATAAGATTGGTTATTAATTGTTTAACATGAATCACGCCAGCATCACGAGCATCATCTGTCATAGGATAAGCTCACTTAAGGTATCTAAAAATATTAAACTCGTCAAAACTCCAGCTGCCAGCTAAAGAGAACTCAAGCAATTGCGGTAAACCAAATACTCAACAAAAAATTAGTAGGCTATAATTAACTAGTATCTTAAATTTAAAAATTATACAATTTGATAATGTAAAGATAAGTAAGTTAGATTAGTGTCAATTTGTCAAACATGTATAACCTGATTTTTTTAAACGTAAATCCATCTAACTGATATATTATATGACAAACAATAAGATAGTTTACATTAATTATAAATTCAGCTAAACAACGACAAGGATAATTTTAGCTTATATGTAGAATCTCTAACCAACTTGGTTAAGTCTATATCTACTAACTAGCTAGTATGGTATATGAAAAGAATTGAATCCTAAACTATTTCAATAGTTATAGCAACATAAGAATAAATAAAATCTTATTCTCATATTGCAGGTATGACTTCAATGTTACGTGGCACTTAGTGTTATCAATTGTTTAATTAGCTGTTAGATTTAATTTCCACAACTTTTAAATCTTTTATTTTCAATCTTAAACATTCATTTTTCGTATCACTCAATGCTAATAATATTTCTTCGTTTTCACAATCCATTTTGTATTGTATGAGAGTTTGGGTTGGCTGAACATTTGGGATTTAAAATTGAAGCACATGCATATCAGGTGCAGGGAAAACCTGAAATAGAAGCAGGAGCTGCATACATCTCAGCAGACAAACCATGCACCACCGAACGTGGGAGGCACATGAAAGGTGCATTTGGTACACTAATTCTATCATATCTTAACAAACAAGCTCCCTTGGTTGGCACTTTGGCCTAAGATGCATGACATTATTATGTGTTTGGTGTGTAGTAGTGTAGTAGGACTGCAGGGACCATATCACTTGTAAAAAGAGGTTCATCGCATCAATTCTCAATTATGCTTATCTATCACCAATCACCAATCACCAATCACCATTGACATTGCCTTAAGAAAATCGACTTTGATTTTGTTTTTCAACGAAGATTTTTGGTCGGTTAATTAAGGACTTAATACTAGTGCATTACATGTTAAAATTATCAAGCTCGAATCTCCTTTCCTCGTTAAGTATAAAAAATATTAGATAACACAATATTCTAGACTGTATAACATTTATCAATAATTAGGATTTTACATAATTTAAAGGGTTTACATTATTGTCTATGTGGGATCAGATCAGAGCAAAATCTTTGAAACTTTGGGTATAGAAGTTGGTTGTCTATTATCTGCTACAATTTCATCAACATTCAAATTTTTTATTCTATGAAAAAACATAGGAGACAAAAGTCGAACTCTTATTATAGATATGAAAAAACCATCAATATACAACTTCCTCTATCCCACTTTAAAGTTAATACGATTTATAAGGACCAAATCAACAATGTTATATATAAGATCTATACAAAAAAAAAAATATGAAGAAACAAGCTGGACCATGATTTATATTATAAGAACCAAAGAGCAAGGAAGGACCCCTCATTTGCAAGTGTTGTAGAAAGTAAAAGGCTTTAGAAATGGGTACAAGTCAATGAAATATACACGTATAAAGAACAGGAAAAAGGTAAATGGCCAAATGCAATGGCAAAGGATATAAATACATAAATATATTCAAAACTATGTGACATTAATCTTTATAATATGAAGATTCTTGGACCCCCAGTTTGAAATATTCAGTATAATTGAAGGTTGTCTCAAAATATTGTGTAATATTTTATAACTTTTGTAGTGAGGTGTGAAGCACAAGAAGGGAGGGTGATCCACTTCCAGTTGGCCTGCCTGGCTATTGAGAAATCAGACAGGTCAAATTGCATAAGATGATCACATCTAGATCCCGAAATCGATGTCCGGAGAGAAAAACATGGTGTCTCGATATAATAATATTATGTTGTATGAAGAAAAAATTATATATAATATAATATTATTGATCTGAGATGTTACAGTAACGGTAAATTCATTTCATAAAAGTTTCTCTCTACCCTATTAGTATTTAGTAGGGTTTGGAAGCTTTTGTTTGTGTTTGCTGGTTGTCCTGGATATCACTAACTCAAGTTATATTTTTATATGTCCTTTAGAAACATCGACATCAAAGTATTATATGTTATGATCTGAATGGTTTCTACTTCCTCTCGAACATTATTGAAGGGAAGGCATGACATGAACGCCAACGGACAATATACAAAAGGAAAGTAACAAGGAATTGGTGTGTTATCTTCAATAATGTCCTCGAAAAGATGTATGATCGTATAACACATATCTTGGAAATATTATTGGTGTGTTACTTTCAAGTGTTGTAATATTATTGTTTTTATATAATAGTTAAGTCACATATGAGGTGAATCGTAATTAAGTATCGAACTTGCTAAGACATTCAACTTACAAATGAAGAGGGATTATCATGCTAGTAGCTTTAAGTTGTATAAAATGAGTGGACACCGAGTTTATATTTGAGATATATTATTGATAAATAAACACATATTATAACATGAGCAAATACTAAACCATAACACTCACACATGTCGGTATTATAGTTGAAGAATTTCTCCTTATATTATCTCTTAGTGTAGTGGTACTTCACATCATTGAAATATGTCTCAAATTTAAATCTTCCCTTCTCATTAATTAAAAAGAAGGAGCATTTAGATTTGGGTCCAAAAACTAACATTGTTATTATGTTAAGTCCAATATTATTTTTTCTCCACTTTTAATTTTTTTAATATTCATTATATATTTTTTAAACTATTAGAGATACAATCTTCTAAGTTCATGCATCTTCTAATTCCAAGATATCTACTTAATATCTTCTTCTTCTTCTTACAAAAAACCAATATACAAATCCATATACAAGACATACGACTGTAATTCAAGTAACAAATTTATGGATGAAATCAATATCCCTAGTCCCATTCCCATAATTTCTAAATCAATCTATTATTCATCTTTAACTTTTCTTGTATTTTTAAGTTATTTTAGTTATCAAGTTAAAAACCAAATTAAATTGGTTATTCTCATTGTTTAGTTAGGGTTCACATAAAGTTAGTAATTTGTTGAGATCTAATCAATTCTTATGGCTCGACACAGGAGATTAAAATCAGTCTTCGGCAACAATGCCACAATTTTGTTGCGTTCCTTCCAAATGCAAATATCATGATATAAGTAAGGGTGTCGAACCATAATAACTGATTAAACCTCTACACTTGTAAATTATTAAATACACACACATATACATAATGTTGTTTCGGTTATATATAGCTCTTTTCAAATGGTTTAGTTCCTTTGCATTATCTAGTGGTAAGTCAATATGTAGGGCCTTCTACTGGGATTTGGCAAAAACACCAGCACGTGAAAAATACGATTAGATTACATCTTACATCTGAACTTTCCTAATTGCTGTCTGTTTGGTTTCAAAGGGGGAGGGATATATGTGACTTACCTACAATAACAGTAATTAATTGGTACAATTTTTCAAGGAATGTGGTTTTGACGTCTGACTTGGTGCATTCGACTGAGTGATGGCCCAGAAACACGTCCACCAGACCCAGTCACCCACACGAGACGAGAGTCGGCGTTCTTGTATTTGTTTGTATGCCACATCGTATCCATAATGTCGGCATCGATGCCAAAATGACAAATTATCAAACTGTCAAACAGTCACACTACATTGTCATCTAAGGCAGGAAATTCAAACTTATTCCAACTCGGAATATTGAATACATTTGCTACGGTCAATCGCCAAAACACGCATAAACAGTTCCTAGCTGTTGACGTGTGGTGGGCCCCACATGCATCAACGGCTACGATCATTCTAGAAGATAGTCACACCGTAGCACGGCATGCCAATACATTTGCAACGATCAATCGCCAAAACATGCATAAACAGTTCCTAGCTGTTGACATGTGGTGGGCCCCACATGCATCAACTGCTACGATCATCCCAGAAGACAGTCACACCGTAGCACGGCATGCCAGCCAGAGATGATGGCGTCGTCGGACATTACACTGAATTCAAAACTTATTTCGACTCGGAATGTTAAAGAGTACTTCTGTCACATGATTAACATTTTTCACCAGCATTGAAAATTAGAAAGTTTAACTCAAAATTATTTTTTTCCGTTGTGGACAAACTACAATATCAAGCCACAGTCAGATACTACTCCATCATACACTAAACTCCTACAGCAGCCTATTTAACCGTGGATAATAGTAAATTGCATAAAATATTTCAAAGTTAGAACATACATTTCTGCTCGTTAATGACGGATAGCAAGGTGCAACTACGGTGAAAATCTCATTTGATTGTCTCCAGCATGGCAGCGTGGCTCAGGATCATTGTACTGCTACATGCGTAAGACTACGAGTGCCCGCAGGCATACACTGTTGCACCCCGATTCCTGAGAGTTGTATATATTTTCCATCTTCATACAAATGCAATTTGACGCATTCCCAAACTCAAAGTCCAAGCTCCTCACTTCTACCTAAAATCTTGACCAGTACGAGGTGAGAATGGACAAATGACAGCGCTCGTTTCCAACCACGACGATATTCCATCTGCACCAGCAAAGTGGAGAAATGGAGCCCTGATGGTGGTGATTGCACTGGAAAACATACTCCTGCAAAATACATGTCCTGGTAGAGCTGCTATTGAGAGTACTCCTCATGTGTACCACTCTGTGGTGAAACTTCTTGATCCTGTGACAATCTGGATTCCAAATTTTGATCATCAGTAAGGGGCTCTTTCTGTAAAGCATCATCCGTCGTATCAGTGTCATTTGATGTCTCATCATTCGGCTCTATAGCTCTAGAGAGTTCCTGTTGCTTTGCTGTTTCAGTATGCTGGTGGAACTCTGTATGCGAATTGTCAGAAGGAAGAGATGGAGCAGTAACGCCTAGCCCTTTAGAAAGACAAACATATTTGAATGCAAGTTGCTTGTAATTATTAAGAAGGTCTTCTACATCATTGATGGTTAGGTCACCGGCATTCGCAAACAAGTATGGATACTCCCGGAAAACCTGGTTCGCCTGATCATTGGTTACGAGGATCGTTGCACCCTTATTCTCCAAATCCGAAAGGGATGGAATTTTTGAAAAGGGTGAGTTATCTTTTTCATTGGGTATCTTCTTCCCTCGGGAGTTTGTTTCAGAAGATCTGGATTGTGCCACTGGGTCCATGTTGGCATTCGGATGTTGATGTCTGGTTTCCATAGATTCTGATCTATGTCCATATCCTGCAAATTGACCTTTTTGAGAATACTGACCGTCCAGATCAGCTGAAAGTCCAGAAAGAAGTGCTCGAGCAGTTTCCATGTTCTTGTCATACTCAGATTCATCCATTGAAATGGCGTTTGCATCAATATTTGAGATGAAGGATTCAACGGAGAGCATGTTTGTGAAAAAATAGGATGCTTCACCAAATAATCGAGATTGTCGCCTGTACCTTTGTATATACAATAAATTTAAGTGCAGTTGTGGAGGGTTTGCCTGCACCGCATCAATACAAAAAAGAAACTTTGTAAACCTGACATACTATGTTGCCTTCTAGAGGGATAATAATTCAACGATTTATTTAGAACAGAAGATCATACGTACTGAATCAAAAGTAAATGTTTAACCAAATAATTCAAGCCATTATAAAAGTTAGTCTTACCTTTAACGTAACATAAATTAGGACAGGAAGAAATTCATCAGCTCCAGGGGGATTCTCATTGGAAGCAACAGAAGCTTTAATGAGCAAGTTATTAATAACCTTGCAACAATTAAGGATGCACACAAGCTTATCCCTCGGTGCCTTGTACATATTGATCTTTTGCAGTTCTTTTTGTGCAAGCTGCAAAGATAGAAGCAAAAATAATCCATGGTAAGGATTATTGAGAGGTATGCAACAAATAATTAAGTCGAAGTACACAGGATTCAGAAACAATAGATTATGATTCAACAATGTCCCATGTGCATTCTCATGAAAACAATAAAACCTAAGGGCCATTTGATAACCATTTCATTTCAGTTTTTAGTTTTCATTTTGGTGCTATACATGGAGCAAAAAGAATGTCAGAGAAAGGAGGAATGAAGAAGGGCGAAAAAAGGGTGGTTGAAGAAATGTGTATGGAGTAACACACAAATTGAATACTACAAAAAAAAAAAAAGGGAAGACAATATTAAGTTGTTTTTACAGTCAAGTTATAGTTTTCAATAATCTCTTTCATTTCTCCCTCCTCCCTCCCACCACCTCCCTACATCCTTCTCCATTCCTATTTCTCACATATGCTTTCCCTAAATCTCCAGCAAAAAAAGATAAAATGCTTATCAAACGGCCCTAAGGAAAACAAAGTTGAATTACAAATTAGAGAAATTAAGACACATTAATTACCCCAAACATGAAAAGACAGTGAGTTCACTCATCTAGGAGGAACTGTAAAGGGGAAGTGAAAATGGCAAGCCCCCTAATATCCTGATTATTTCCTTTTTAATAACTGTCAACATGTGCTCAACAATCAGATCGTACTATACTTTTTCATGCATTCATTGGTTCATTGTTAAATTCCATACTGCAATCATTATGAAAGGCGGAAATTATAAAATTATTTTTGTGGGACATAAGATTTCCCTAAAAAGGCACTTAAGCAAGGACCTATTAACAAATATAGATGGCTCATATGCAAATCAATACATCTCGATTGAGATCCATGCCCATGTTTATATGAATGTACTTCATTTATGCATATCTGATATGGGAAATTTGGTTTAGGTCAATAAATAATTTCATATTTCGGCATAGGTCAATCGTCATTTTATTTTCTAGTATAAATTGAACCCAATTCTCCTCGTGAACTATATTCAATAAAAACAATCTCCAGGGCGAATACCACATGCTAAAATTTCTCTTCATTAACCTCTCCTTAAAGCATAAAATGTTTGATTGATTCAACCCTAATGCTAAAAGATTTTGTGACCTCAAACAAATTACCCCTATGTGATATATGTACTATATATCAATGTCATGAGTATACAAAGACACTTCATTAATACAAATTTCATATGGGTAGTCCTCTACTCACCAGCCATGAAGTTTCATTTTGAAAGGTGGGCTTAATGTCCAAATTTTCCGGCCGAATAAACTGTTGTACTAAAGTCATCTTCTCATACAGTTGCTCATCGAGTTTCACATCATCCGGAAGTGAAGGAAATACGCGAGGAAATAACTTCGTCATAACATACTTCTCCAGCCCCTACATATAACAGAAAGCCACAAAAGAAAAATTACCAATTAATAACCAAAACATTTTATTGTTAGCCAAACTTAAATGCAATATGTTGGATTTGTAAAATCAAACAAAACGGGACAAAATTCAATGTCAAATTCAAGCTCAAAGTTGAAACTCACTTCGCCGGCGCTGTCGAGCTCCTCCTCTGAACAGCCAGCCCAAAGTGGATGAGCCCTGAAATCAATTTCCATCCGGGCAAAGAAGTCCTGCACTGCGGCGCTGTCCCTCTCCGGATCAGGAGCATTGTTCGAAAACGACACTATGAAGCTGCAATCCAGTCCAATCCAATTCAATCCAAATCAATCCAATCCAACCCAATCCAATCCAATTCAAGTAAAAACAAAATAAACATCAACCATCTTTGCTAACACTCAAATTCTCAACTACTGGAATTAGAGATTACCACTACACAAACAAACCGTGAAATGAACAATCGGAATCCAAAATTCGTTTCACCTTTTTATAGACTTGACGAAATTGGCGGCCGACGGTTGACGCATGCGTTCCAGAAAGTCCTGCAGTCCTAAGAACACGTCGGTGTTCTCCATTATCTGCCGTCCGATGGCTCCGAAATCTCCGCTCAGCGGCGATGATGAGAGAAAGAGAGCTGGAGAGCAGAGTGCTTTTACTTCGGAAAGCCAATTGCTAGTTCATTTGCGATGGAGCCGATGCAGGAATTGATTTATCAGACAAATGAACATAATACCCAAAGTTAATTAACCAAAAAGTTAACTTCGTAAATCTTCAGCTCTCACACATACGCCAACGGAGGATGAGAAAACTTAGATTTTAAGTTCTAAATTTACCTTAGTAAATATGAATTTTAAATCAGAACTCATTTTTAGGCAAATTTAGTTGCTCGGGTTTATGGGGGCTGGCCATGTATTTTTTAGTTATATATTTATAAATTTATTGAATTCAACTGTTAATATCTAATATGATCAAATTCAAAGTTAAAAATAAATAAATAAAATAAAATAAAAAATTCTAATTAGTAAACGAATTTTAATTTAAAAAATGAAAGAGAAAACAAAGTCTAAAAACCGAAGGCGAAATGATTATTCATGGCCCTTTACAAGGCTTAAATCATAACAAGTAATGCTAAAGAGACTAAATTTATAAACTAATTTTTGTAAACTACATGATATGAAAGTTGATAGTTGACTATTACTTAAGTGTTGATTAACATGTTAATTTTGTATTGATGACACCTCGTTTGGTCTGCAAATTTAGTACACTTACTCGTCATGACAATAGAAATTACAAGGTCTAAGGTATCTCTTGACACATGTTGAGTACCATAGGGTCTGTTTGGATGGAGAATTTGGTGGCTAAGATGATGTGAGCAGGAAGTGAAGGGATTGGGATGAGGGGAGTATATTTTCTGTGTTTTGTATTACACAAATGGAAGGATACAATACAACATCAATTGAAAATGTTACTGCTTCTGCTCGGGCTACAACTGACTCCCACATCAGAAGAAAACAATTCGATCCTAACTCAATTTGTATAAATACCCCTTTACCCTCCACACATATTTACAATCAGAAGTATCCAAACAGCTGCATCCCCTTCACCACAAGAAGATTGTGGGCTGCACTTGATACAACGTGCTCCGATTTAGAATAACGAACTCCAAACAGCTGCATCACCTTCACCACACTTCTCATGAACAGATTTAATCCTTTCCACCGACTTGCAGATACCACTGCAGCTCCAATCAAATGATGCAACGCACATATTACCTGCCTGTGCCTTCCACTCACAATCTGCAGACCATTCAACTAAACTATAAATACCTCAGCAATGGACAAAATTATGAAATTTATACGTTGCAAACATGCACCAAATGCCATTGCTAATACCAAACTGCATTTCTTTGTTTTTTTCTCCTTGGATTTGGATGCAAAACCTTCACTAATAACATATTTGTTTCAAAAAACAGTACCTGGTGGAGTACGACAGCACATATTGCGTTCATCAATGTGTTCGACTTCAAGACCAATAAACCACGAACCAAGCGACACGTCTTCATTGGCATACTTATGCAATATGGGCCTGCAATAAAAAACAGGATGTTCCAGAACTCTATAATGTCTTGCAAAAAGTAACACGTGAAAATTTTAAAACCATAGTTACCATCTTAAAAACTTGCAGATTTTATTAAATATGAACCCATGAATTAATCCCGTTTAGACCTGCAGGGGGTGAGAACCGACAACAGCGCTGCTTTCAGGCCATTAATTTGATTCAGATCCATATCTGAGGTATCAATTCTCATATTTTTGCGATTCCATACCCTTGACAAAACATTTTTTAAAGGTTAAAGACAAATCCAGACTTGTTTTTCTTTTATTTTCTATTACCAAAGCTAGGATAAAAGATGTTTGCAAACTTCAATGTTTTAGAGTATTTTTGCTGACGCAGGTCAACCATACAATGCATTTCCTATCTCCAACACAAATATGTCAAGTCTCAAAATCTAGTACAAGATGCTAAATGTAGTAACAGACAAGGTTAATATTACTTATATTTGAAGAAATAGAAAAGATGAACTGATGTATCCTTACTGGTTAATGGAGACATATGTAGCAAGATCCCTTGAGATTGCATAAATCTGTCCAGTTGCATGCCGGAAGTATTTGTTTCCCTCCTCTCCAAACTTCCAATACTCTGGTTCATGGTACTTCACATTCCTAGAGAGTAAAGAAACATAAAAAGATCAATATCTCCTCCCTGAAGGCCCATATTACTTGAAGAGTAACATTATCTCTCATTGTTATAAATGCATCAGGACAATTACTTTTGGGCAAGAACAGGTCCAGATTTCATACACCCAATGTAGACTCTAGGTTTTGAACGGTGACGGGCAAGAGTTGTAGCTAGCATACCTGCAAGCAAAGCATGTAAGGCACTCATCCTTGGTAACAAATTGTAATAGTTAGAGATAAAGAAATGCAGCAGCGGTGCATACCTAAATTGACATGTACATCATCATCCACCTTGACATAAAAATCAGCATCCCATTGTGCAACTGCTGTGGTGAAGAAAATTTTCGTTTTGGCAGACAATTCATGATAACCTTCAACGTGTTCCTAAAGTGCAAAACAAGAATGAGACCGAATTCCTAACTGAATTGTCTTAACAGTAGTTGTACATATACAAAATTCTATGTCCGTTCTCTTACCAGCCTGAGGAAATCATTATGTTGAGCATCTTCTGAATCAATGGCTCTATCTAAAATGCTGTTGGATGTTGCACTGTAGGAATGAGGCAGATACCACTCAGGTCAGTTTCAGAAAGAAAACAGAACACCATCCAATAACGTATCCTAGCGTTGTGTACTATGGTTAGAAGAAATAGGAATGCTATGGCATCTATTCGTACATATAATTTATCCTCTATCCTCCATATTCATTCTTTTCGCACAAGGAAAAAATTGGCACGTCATTGTTACATCAGAATGGTTAGACACAATATGAGGCCCAACATTACCAGTAGGACACACAGCAACCAGTATATGATAACATTAGCAAAAAAAACTGAAGTAAGAGGAATGTCTGATGCAGAACAAACCCACAAAAATGAGCTACGAGTAGATCATATTAAATGTGGTAAAATGTTTTAGTTTGTTTTTTTTTTGGTCAATAAAAATGTTTTAGGTTACCAAAAGAACAAGTGTGAACTAAGCTGCATGCCTAAATTTTTAAGTTATGACTTAAAATTAAAGTAAGGGTGGCATGTGCTGCAGAACATGTTACTGCTAAATGAGCAGTTTATTGTTACCGGACATTTTACCACACCACAGAGCAACTATATGAATAAATTCACTTAATTACTTAGCCATGTTAGAGGAGTACTGCCTTATCCAAACAATATTCTACTATCTATGAAGTAGAAGTATCTAATTTCATGGGAGACGAGCACATGCATATGTCAAAATTGCCTCATCAAATTTTACTTCATAGGCTGTAATTTGATGATCTAAATGTAACTTTTCCATACCTGTGGCCAATCATAAAACGGATAACTATCCCCTTCTCGCGCTCCAACTGCAGTAGCTTTTCCCCTGGCGAACAATTCAGACATATTCAGCAAGCAGGCCCACAGAAACAAAAGATCTTGTTTACACTTATAAAGTAGAATAAATAGCTTATAGTACCTTGAGGCATCCAAGTCTCTCTAACTGAATCTCGCCTCCTTCTACTACTAAAAGCAGTATTAATTCCAATAACAATAAATGCTTTCTTTCTCATTGAATTGTCCTTAGACAACTGCGAGTTGGAGGTGGAGCCACCGGAGTCCCCCGTCTCCTGTGAACTCCGAGCTGCCGCCAATTCCAACTGAATCGACGCCATCTGCTTGTCTAGAGATCTGGCACGCCCCGCAAAAGTCACAAGAAAGTAGCCAAATTTTCAGTACAAAGTACAAATTCATACAACCCCAACAAAAACAAAATATCCCTAGTCCAAAAAAAAAAAAAAAAAAAAAAAAAAAAAAAAAAGAAAACAAGAGCTCAAGTGTTTGCACTCACTGAATTGATTCATGGGTTTTGTAGATTTCGTCCATCACATTCTTATCATGTCCATGCTTCTATAAATAGCAACAAATCTGTTCTTAAAGAATAGTCAAATTTAACCAAAACGGTATGTAATTAGAGAACAATTAATTAAAATGACCACCTTCTTAGTTGCCCAATCTTCGGAGACGATTTGAAGCTCTTGCTCTTGGCGACGAATCGAAATTAGCTGACCGTTGGATTCAGGTGCTGCCCACATTCTGCTACCATAAAAAATCCAAAACCCATAATTCGTTTCAGCATTAAAAGCTAGAGAGAGAGAGAGAGAGAGATTGCAATTGAACAAAAACCCATAACTTGGGTAAGCTGGAAATGTTACCTGCCGGTGATGAGCATCCCCAGAAGGAAAGCAGGGATGCAGAAGATGGGAATCCATGTTGCGGAGATCTTCTTGGAGCTTCGGCTCTTCATTTCCTCTCTCTGCGTTTTTAGAGAGGAAGTGGTGACGAAGCTGATTGTGAATGAGAGAGACGGTGAGAATTTATAGGTGGAATTTCGAAAGAGAAACAGGTTTGAATTTTCTTTTGAATTTTAGACCTGTTGGGGTCCATTCGTACGCTTGAATCTTCGGGCAGCCAATAAAATATAAAGTTAGGCAACGACTTTTTGCAAATTTATGCGAATTCGTGTCTGCTTGTTTGGCCATTGCTGGCGTTCGTCTCAAGTCGTCGTGTCTCCGCGCCAGTTACGCCACCGGTCAAGATTCAAGGATCCTTTTTTTTAACTCGGATGCGTTACGTCCCGTACCAACCCCTTTTTTGGCTTCTTCTGAAGCGGCTGAATCAAACAGCCACCGTGGCCTGCCTCATTTCGAAAGGTTGAATAACAAACAACTACTTTTGGTTTTGTTTTTGACAAGAAAAGCGATAGTGATTTTTCTTAATAAACAAGAACAAGTGAATTTGATTAGGGCTGCAAGTTGGAATGGTATTTCGGTTCTTTAAGTACAATTTTTGAATCTGTAAATTTTGAATTCAAATATCTTCGAAAAATTAGACAGAAATTGAAATGCATTGAGATTCTGCAAATTCTGATTTTTCGATTCGAAGTTTTCCGAACTTATTTGGATAAAAAACTTTAGAAATATTATGATATTTTTAAAGTTATCTAATTATCAGACACTTTATAATCAACTTTTGTATTTAATTATTGAATTAATTACACTAAAACCTCCTCAGGTTTATCATGTTTTCACAAAACTCATTCACGTTTGAAACATTGCAGTAACACCCCTTGATGTTCTAATTTACTTTCACATAACCCTTTAGAGCTGACATCACCTTAAAATATTTTCTTAAAGACAATTTTACCCTTATTTTTAATTACTTTTAAAAAAAAATATATATATATATATAACCTTTTTTAAAAATCAATATAGGGTTTAGGGCCTCCCCTCCACATTCACTACCACAACATAATGGATACTTAACATGTTTCACCTCCTCCCTTTAGGGCTCACAAGAAGTTGCTCCTTCATCTCGGTTTTTCGATCAATCAGCCTCTCCACAAGCTTGGCCTCACTCTCCGCCATAAAAATAATAATATGAAAACTGCTGAATTCCCTAGAATCTTCCTCACAAAATGCAAGTTGTCGTTAGAAACCTTGAACTTATTTATTCCGAAGAAGATCTGAGTCCATGGTAGAGGAAGAAAGATAACAATGTTTGTACCATACTTGACCAATCCCAAAACAACCAAGCACCGGTTAACTTCATACCTTCAATGATCCACTGAGGGGTTCATGCTGAGGCACCCTGCCAAAGCATAAGAGTTTCCCTCTAACCACAACATAATGTCAACTTCAAAATAAAGTTCATAGAGTCCCACATCGATCGCGGACAAAAGTTGGAGACTCTCGTCAACTATAAAAGAAGACCACTCTTACAATGAATCCCTAATGTCATTATTGTACTTAAACTAGTCATTAGAACTCACTAATGATGATTATATTTGAACCTATGTATTTGTGTAAACCCTTCACTATTAATGAGAACTCCTCTACTCCGTGGACGTAGCCAAACTTAGGGTCAACCATGTACATCTTGTGTTTGATTTCCTATCTCTTTACGTATTTATCATCACTAGTGACTGGAGCAACTGAGCGAAGGTCACAACTTTGACACTTTACATTGTTCCAAAGTCTTCACTGATTTTGTGCATCAACATTTAGCGCCGTCTGTGGGAACAACATCTATTACTAGTCTCACCAACTTTGTTAAGCTAGTTTCCATCGATTGTACACTTTTCTTTGATCATGCATCTCTCTCCAACATGGGAAGTGAAGGAACTCACAACATGCAGAACGACACCCCTCTCATGCCTAGTGTAAGACAGCGAAGGAAGGAAAGAAAGAAGTTTGCTCTTCTGGCTAAGGTCTAAGAGCTTAAGGCTCAGAACAACAAGATAGCAATGAAGAATGAGATCCTCCAAGAACAGTATGAGAAACTCTTCGAGATGCTCCGAGAGGCTAGGCATACTCAATTTCACAAACCCATCGCCCATGTGGATGGGAACCATCACCTATGTGCCCCCTAACATGAAAGGTTACCAATCTTCAACATGGATACTCTTAATGAGGAGCAAACTACCCATCAATTTGTTGATCAACACAAGACTTCTCTCAATCCAACTGCTTCGACCCGAAGCATAAGAAGTGGAGAGATGCACCTCCTCACAGAAGGAGTGGAAGAATTGAAGGCTATTTATCATAACTGTCGAGACTTCTTGAGGCAGCGTCTAGAAAACCCCATCCACATAAGCTCAAGGATAAAAAACCTAAAGGTTATCGAAGGGCTCAGTCCCCTACCACAACGTAGGCCATCCCTCATTCCAAGAAAAGAACGACAAGCCTTGGAAGGGCAAGAAGGTGTAGAACACCCGAAGGATTTCCAATGGGCATGTCCCGAAAACAAGTACGGTGAATCTAAAGAAAGGCTACATGACTTTGATCAAACTTCCCTACTTCCAAATGATGAGGGAAACTTACGAAGAAGCGTTTTAATGATGCTTGACTCCACTCAAGACCCTTTTATCTTGCAGCTCCTTGAAGAAATGAACAGGCTGAAGGCCGAACATCAGGCCAACATACCTGACTAGAACCAGCCAAGGCCAGGCCCTCTAACAATGAGGATCTTTTGCACCTTTCTACAAGGAAAAATTAAACATAAGCTTGGCTTATAATCGTATACTGGGACGGAAGATCTAATTGAGCATATCCATGTCTTTGAATCTACCATGGCATACCGAAGACACAACGATGAGGAACGATGTCTTATATTCCCATAAACTCTCTCTGGTAGAGCTCTCAATTAGTATTGTTGTCTTCAACCTAATACTGTGGATTATTTCGCTGAGCTAAGAAGACTCTTCGTGGCTCAAAACATCTTCCAAGCTGATCGCTTACACTTCGCTGATGAGCTATACACTATTTGTTAGAAGTTGAACGAGCCATTGAGTGAATATGTTGGTCGCTTCAGTCACGAGTACTCTCATTGCGCAAAGGCAAATGATAAAATAACACTCAGAGCCTTCACAGGCAGGCATGCATGATTGCTTCTTCAAGTACATGATAAATAAATGTTAACACTTAGAAAACTTACTCTAAGGTGATGATACAAACTTACAATCATGCATTTGCTGAGGCAAGGACATACCAATGGAACCCTCCTATGATTAACACATATCAACAAGTAGGGAGTGGAAGTCAAGTTCTACTAAGTGAAAAGGTTTTGGCTATCCAGACACCCATTGCATCATTTCCTACCTCACTTAGCAACCCACTAAGTCACCAAACGTATTCATCTCTTGGCAAGAGAGAGGATTTTTACTCTCAATAAGCTCATTACGACAAGAGGGATAAAGGTTCGTATCAAGACAACCAGGGTGAATGTACCTTCAACCATGGGGTCAAGCCTCACTCTTTCAAAAATTTTTTTTGGGGAGGGGGTGTTTAGGTGCTGAAGGAAATGCTTTTACAAGAAGGCATACGCATTATAAATGTTTTGACCTTCAATTGTTTAAGATCCTTTGTAACACAAGTCATTTGGGAAATATTTAATGAAGAGGGAATTCAGACAACTTCGTCTGAGTCTTTTACATGCATAGCATTGGAACACTTGGTCTACACTGACCTACCTCTATACTCTAACTCAGAGCTTCAATATGTATATTTGACATAAAGTAAGTGAAACTAAGTGTTATAACCAACATGGTTCACATATCCAAACAATGGATTCCTTCATGCATAGCAAAACATTCATAAGCATCATTTATGTCAATCAACATAAACAACATACATTTCAACACATTCATTTTGCTATTAGGTGTCAATCATTTTGCTATTAAGTGTCAATCATTTATGTCAATCATTTGCTATTAGGTGTCAACATGCATACATTTCAACACATAAACAACATACATTTCAATACATAAGCCAAATGAGCTTCGAATGGGTGTCAACATGCATTTTGCTATTAGGCACTTGTTACAATGTGCCTCGGCAACTTGCCCTTATTCTCACCAACCAGGTGATGAAGGAACTCACATTCGTATCACCAACCAAGTGATGAAGAGTACAACCCATACTCTACTATCTTTCGACAAGTTGCCACTATTTCCACCAACTAGGTGATGAAGGCACTCATCTTTGTATCACCAACTAGATGATGAAGAGTACAACCAATACTCTAAGAAATAATTTTGAGTTTCAGCAACTTGCCACTATTCTTATCAACCAGGTTATGAAGGAACTCACGTTCGTATCACCAACCAGGTGATGAAGAGAACAACCAGTACTCTAATAAATAGTGTTGAGATTTGGCAACGTGCTACTCTTTTTACCAACTAGGTGATAAAGGAACTCACATTCGTTTCACCAACCAGGTGGTGAAAGATACAACTAGTACTTTAATAAACATTTTTGCCTCGGCAACTCACCATTCTTCGTACTAACTAGGTGATGACGGAACTCACCTTCATATCACCAACCAAGTGGTGGAAGATACAACTAGTACTTTAATAAATATTTTTGCCTCAGCAACTCACCACTCTTCTCACCAAACTGATGATGAAAGAACTTACCTTCTTTTCACCAACTAGGGAAGAATAGTACATCCTGCACTTGTGGATTCTTAGCATTCATAAGCAATCGAAAATTTTCAAGCCTTGCAACTCGGAAAAGGCATATACAAACTCAACAAAGCCTTCCACACTCTTGCTCAAGAGTGTGGAAGCAAAATCGTATGGTTCACTACCTTCATAGCTACAATACGTATTGTCTTCTACACTCTGCTCAAAGTGTGAGCAGAATGGTATATACACAACCTTCACAGCTACAACATGTAATTGTATTCTACACTCTTGCTCAAGAGTGTGGAAGCAAAATTGTATTATATAGTTTAACAAACCTCCAACAACTACAACATGTAGAATGCCTTCCACACTCTTACTCAAGAGCGGGGAAGCAAAATCTATTTATATGGT